ATTTTGTGTCTGCAGAGTTCCATGACATAACTATTCACATGACTAAGGAGTGAATGACTGGACGAAAGAATGAAATTAAAAAATGAATGAAAGATTGATTGAATGAACGAACGAACGAAAGAACAAATAATTGAATATTCAAACAAAGGAATGTACAAATAAAAAAATGAACGAAAGAAGGAATAGAAATAGGAAGAAATTAAGGACTGGCTTCTCTCTTGAAAAGTTCTCTTGTCTGATTCATCACTCTCTTCTACCTCTAAACTTAATATATTTGAGCTTAACTTTTGACTCTTCTCTATCATTTTTATTCTCTTTGATCAAATCTTGTAATTATTGTTGGTGAACTAATCGTCATACTCGCAAACTCCTCACTGAAGATATTGCATCGTACCATCACGTTTAGATTATTGTAATTCTCTTCTCTACCCTCTTCCTTCCTACCTTTTAACTCTACTTCAAAGAGCTCAAAATAGAGTTGCAAAAGTTGTCCTAAATGTCGGTAATTAATCTTCCAGCACAGATTCACTCATTCAGCTACATTGGTTGCCAGTATGTCAACGGATTGGATTTAAACTCGCCATCCTCACGTACAAGTTGCTTAATGATACATCTCAACTGTCATACCTCCATCAACTTATATAGTCTCGTTCATTAACTCGTCAACTTCGTTCGTCTTCATGCACTCGGTTGCATCAACCTATCAGCAATTCATCGGTCGTCATCAACAAACATTTCCCATACAGCTCTCCTCCCGCATGGAATGGTTTGCCCGCCATCATTCGTCAACAGCCATCCATCAAACATTTTAGGAAACTATAAAAGAACTTTTTGTTTGTTTATCCAGACCTATGGAAACTTCAGAAGTCATTTTAAACATTCCTGAAGCTATGCATAGGATGCCACATAAATTAATAATGGAAACTTCTTTTACTGCAACTCAAAAACTAAAATCAAATCCATAAATATATACACACAGCTATGTATATCACACATATATATGCCTATATAAATATATATATAATAAATGCTTATAATATTCATCAATGATCATCCTAAATATAAGAATACAATGATGAAGACGACGTTAATGATCATGATCGAATGGGAATGAATGAACAAACAATGAATGAATTGAAGGAATGAATTGAAGGAATGAATTGAAGGAATGAATTGAAGGAATGAATTGAAGGAATGAATTGAAAGAATGAATTGAAGGAATGAATTGAAAGAATGAATTGAAAGAATGAATTGAAAGAATGAATTGAAGTAATGAATTGAAGGAATGAACAAACAATGGATGAATTGAAGGAATGAACAAACGAACAACAAATGAATGAATGAATATAAATAAAATGAATAATCAATAAGAAATAGTTAATCAACATATATATAGGCGCTATTAACTCGTTACCTATGTATTGTATGGAGGTGAATGTAAGCTGTCCATTGTCCAAAATAATTTGTCATACACAC